TGGCTTCTCTGAAAGTTCTGGGAAGGAAGGGAAGGAGCAGGTAAGTGCAGGGCTCCAGTGCATGAGGCGCACATAGGGCAGGAGGGAGAGGGGGAAGAGGGGAGACAGGAGGGCCACAGGCTGGCTTCTCTGAAAGTTCTGGGAAGGAAGGGAAGGAGCAGGTAAGTGCAGGGCTCCAGTGCATGAGGCGCACATAGGGCAGGAGGGAGAGGGGGAAGAGGGGAGACAGGAGGGCCACAGGCTAGCAGAGGGAGCCCCAGTGGGCTGCTGCGACCCACTGGAGGTAAAGGAGGGCCACTCATGCACCCCACCCACTATTCATGGTTGCCCATCCATGCTTTAGCTGTCTCCATCTCCCGCAGCAGGGTGTTCTATATGCAAGCTGGGCTCTCCTGAATCCGGCACTCCTCTAGAGGCGGCCAACAGCACTACAAGTCAATTTCTGTGGGTCAAGAAAGTTCTACATGTACAACATCCATTTTTGCAAAATTCTGCATTGCACAGATAGGGTTGCCAGCTGTCCGGTATCCTACCAGACAGTCCAGCATTTGCACCCTCTGCCCGGTTTAAAAAAAAAAAATCAGACAATACTGGACACGTGTAGTGTCCAGTATTCTCTGATTTTTCCGGCTGGGCACCGGACGGAAGCCTGACATGGTTGGCCCCATCCCCACCAGGCTTCGCCACTCCCCCACCCCTACCAGGCTTCTGTGCAATCACAGGCTCCCAGTACCGATCGCAGCCCTGCCTCCCAGCCTGCGAGTCCCAGCTGGGAGGCGGGGCCCGATCGGGGGCTGCGAGCCTTCAGCTGGTTGCTTCTGGCCTAGGAGTAACGCCTTGGGGAGGAGAAGGAGAAGCCCTGTCCCTGAGTGCTGTTAAAGCAGGGTGTGGAGCCGAAGTCCTGGACAGAAGCCCACAGGTGCTTTGTGGTTGTTTAGGTGCTTTCCATGGGCTCTCCGCTAAAACTGAGTGGGGTAGAATTCCCACTTCCTTCCACTGGGACACCCAAAGACTTTGCTATGGGGAAGTCACCTTCCTACCCATGGTCACCCCACCCTCCGCTCTGCCACTGTGTTGCCCTGGGGTCTGCCTCTCTTCTTTGGGTAGCAGGCGGCTGCTTTGCAGAGCAGGCTCTGCTGCTAGGGTTGCCAGGTGTCCGGTATTCACATGGACAGTCCGGTATTTTCGCCTCCTGTATGGTAAAAAAAAATTCAGAGAATACTGGACACCTAAAATGGAGGCAAAAATGCTGGGCACCTGCCAATCCTACAAACACTCAGCGCCTGGCCTCCCCTCTGACTCCCAACACCCCCAGCCCTCCGACTCCAGCCCCCATGCTTACCTGGTTCCCCAAAGCTGCTGGCACAAAATGGCTGCCGGCCAAAAGACCTAGGGGAAGCAATGATTTCCCCAGGGTCTTAGTGTTCAACTACACCCCTGTTCCTATTCCTGCACTCATTCTTAAAGGGGAAAAGTCCTATGGCCTAGGTCCGTGGTTTCCAACCAGTCCTGAAGCAGAATTGACTATATGTGAACAAGCCACACACAACCAGCCAAATAGCCACATGTGGCTAGTGGTCAGCTTGTTGGAAACAATGGGCGTACGCCATTTAGGACATCAAATTATATGGTTGCAATGGTGCCTTCCACCCCCCCCCCCATAAAACCTATTAATATATGGATATTCTTGGCTTT